AAAAAAAAAAAAAAATGAACGAAAGCAAAATTCGTAAGGCAAGTTGAGACTTCGAGTTTTCGAAAGGAGTTGGTTCTGCTTCCAAAAAAAAAAAAAAATCTTTCTTCATGGAAAGAAGAATCTCGGCACGGCGATAACCCTCTCTCGGCCCTGTTAAATTCTTCCAATGCGTTCACTTGGAATGCGCGCGGAAGCCATTACGCCGGCAGCGTCAATTATGACTGAGAACGAAAACTCAGAACGTTAGAGGCATGCGAACGTTTCATCCCGCGGCTTATGACGAATCGAGCGCGTTAGACGAAAATATATTTTCCGCGGAGGGGGTGGAGAAGGAGGGGGGGGGCTCGCGAAGCGGGGAAATAATTGCGGTCTAACAATAGGTGGAGACAAAGACAAAGGGAAGGAAGGAAGACGTCGCCATCAGAACGCTAATGCAACGCGGAGAAAGACGAGTGCCATTGTCACGTTCCATAATCGTCACCGTTCGCAACGAACATTTTCGTTACGAACGTGACAGAAACGCACGTAGTAGCCATTCGCGCTTCGACGTGCAACTTTGCACGTACTCCGGAATCTATTCTACGATATATCGTTATCGTATTGTTCAAGTAACAGTGACGGAGGCCGTCAACGTATCGAGATGTTTTTACGCGTGTACTCGATGCTCACGATATCTTAGAATCTGAAATGGCAAACGTTCCTTATACGCTCTACTAATGAACTTTTCGTCCGAGCCATTTGGAATTGTAAAACGAAGAATTTTCTTTATTCGCATCTTCATAACATGTGTACCGCGTTTATCCTATCGTGGGACGTATACGCGTCGTGACGATCATTTTTCCCGGCTGTTAAGATCAACTCAATTTGGTAAGAAGACGCTGTAAAATTTGTTAACAGAATGATGTTAAAAAATTAAAATAACGTTATAGCAAAGATTGCTTGTTAGTATTTAGTGTAGTATTATATAATTGATATAATAAATTATTATTATTTAATATTATTTATTACACAAATAATAACATTAAAAATATTTGGGACAAAATCTATTGTCAAAATTAAATTTATCGCTTCGTTCTATATTGTATCTCTATACATTTTCCTTGATAATTATAATTTCTTCACTATTATAAAAATTGTAAGACATACTTCAGAAGCAAAATTATTAATTACGATAGCGTACACGTCCCACGCGGCCTAAATGGAAAGCAACTGAAAATTGGCCTGGAACGTGTTAATAAACTGTGTTAACTCGTCTTTAGAGTTAAATGTGTTTGTTTCAAAATTTGAAAAATGAAGTGCTTCGTACAATACTTCGTACAGCGAAGAAAATTAGCAGAATGGAAAATTCATCAACGATAAACACTGAATATTGAAAATAGAAGAAAGTGTACTGAACGGGCGCGTAGATTCATGCCAAAGGCTACTAATTTTTAATCGTAATAAATTTTCAACGACAACGCGATTGAACTCGGTTGCTGAAGCTCGTCTCGGCAAAGATAATCCGCGATAAATCCAATACGGCCAGTACAATCGACGAATAAATCACTTCCAGACGAATCAATTTCTTAAAATGGTTCTCGCCGAGAGAACGAGCCCGGCGCTCTCCCGGCGGAACAATCGCAGCTGCCTGTCTAATCGTGTTTCTTTGCCGACATCGACGAGAGAGAAGAAACGACGAACCGAAAAAGTTCTACCGGCGATGAGCCGATGAGCGTTCTTTAAGAGCAGCAGCAAAGTTTTTTCCCTATGACGCTCCGCGAATACCGAGAGGAGGCACTTTGCTCGTCGTTATCGATCGCGATGGGGCAACATCTACGCGGACACGGCCTTCTTTCGTCTCGATTATTAGAAAACGTGTACAGCTGGCCGAAACAAAGATCGCAAGTGGAACAGACGAAGCCTCGTCATTTTGCAACACGACAAATCTCAACAAATTCGAACGGGGCTTTGGAACTGAAAAATTTCGATGAAAAAAATTGGCGAAATGTTTCGTTTTAAAACTGTTTGACGTTTGGAAGAACCAAGACGAATAAAGAGAATTATTGAAACATTCCAAAATTGGCAGAAATAATTTGAATAAACGCTAGTAAAGGCCAATTTTATTGCCCACCTAGCGCACGATGCAGGTTTCTAAAAATCTATCTTTCCAGATAGAAATCAGTCTCTCTCTTTCAGACGATCGTTTTTAATAAACTTTCACGTTCGACGATTTAAAAAAAAAAAATTCTTGGGACATTTGTTTGCAGCTTTCCGTACTATCGAGAAAAATATCAGGGAGCTTGACTTTTGCAGCATGCGAGACAATTTCAGTTTGACCAAAAAGAGAGCTGCACCTGTGCAGTTGCCGGTCGTTTTCATCAAATATTTACTTCATAAAATATCGACTGCGACGCAGCTCCGCATAGCTCAATCATCTGTTCCAGGAGACAGTTTGCACGAAACTCGTCGAAAGAGTTTATATTTTGATAAACCGTGTATTATCGACGACGTCTTCGGTTCAATTGTCTCGACGTAATCTCATATCCGACTAACATAAATTTCATCTACGTATTATCTCACCGAGTTCGTTCGGAGATGTTTCAAGCAAACTGAGACAAATCACGGGCCGAATCTCGCCCGAGAATTAATACGAAAACCTTGGTGATTCCTGCGCAACGTCGCGTGAACGGCGCAATTCGACAAATTTATAATATAACGCAGCTTCGTCGGAACTCCTTGAATAAATCTGAACTTGGTTGCACAATGTTCAATCGTATTTCAGTGACGCGCAGTGATCCAAAATTCGGCTGTTCGAACGCCGGAAATGGCATTCTCCGTGCCGTTAAATCAGCCTTCGTATTACGCGGAGCACGATCGATGTAACGAGTAATTATGAAATACCACGAACGGCGGAACCAGCCGTTCATTGTCGGCGCGATCGCCGATTCACCGAGTAAACGTAACAGCGGGGTGGCTGGCCTTAGTTTTACTGCGTTCCGTAACGATTTCTGTTGTCACCGAAGTGTATACAACAATGATTTACCGCGCGGCCGGCCATTTCAAAAGCAGCTGGACGCTTCTGTGAGGAGGACAGTCGCACGCGAAACGCGGGCGTAAAATACAAAGCTGGAAAATACGCCGACACAACCACGTTGCATGGTGTATTTTCACCTCATTCAATATACAACCGCGGTTCTTTGTCCGTGGAAACCCTGCGAATGTTATCAAGTAATTTTATTAACAACTCGATTGAACGTTACCTCGTTCTCCAGCTAGAGAACACAAAGTTGTATGCATAAGTTCGATCGACAACGACGATATGATTTGAAATTTAGTCTACGAAAGGAAGAGAGCGTGCAAAGAAAATGACGTCGAAGCACTCTGAAAGTTCACATCACGGTGAACGAAATCGTATGTATAGTTGCTCGCAGTGCGAATGAGCCGAAGATTGCATAACGATTCTCGAAGGAAGAGAAATACTTGGAGAGGAGAAGAACGAGCTCAACGATGTGCCAAACTGGTAAAGTTTTCTGTTCGGAGTGATTATTAAAAAATTTCGTTTCTATTTTTCGAGTTTTATTTTTGGGCGATCGAGCAGTAAATTCGGACAAACACTGTACTCAACTGGACAGACCAAGAGAAACAACAGCAACAAAACGCTATGGTTTTGCAAATCGAGAAAACGTGATTTTTCGTCGCGGTAACGCCAGACCACGTGTGGCACAAAACGCTTCGCAAAAAAAAAAAAAAATTGCGCGAATTTGGTTGGGTCATATTGTCAGATTGTCAACTATTTCGAATGTTGTAACACTTTTTAGTTGGCGAAAAATATAACTATATTGACACTGTAAAAAAGAGCTCGAAAAATATTTTAACGAAGAAATTTTACAGCGATGATGTGTCTTTGCCAAAAAGATGGGAAGAAGTTATGAAACAAGAGGGTGATTACATATTTTCATAGCAGTTGCATATTTCAAATTTTGTCACAAACAAGTGTCATAAAAAGCGGAACGAATTTATGGGATGGCCTAGTATATATACAGAGTGTCCCATTTTAGTAAATGCAATTATCTCCGAAACTATTCGTCATTTAAAAAGTATTTCAAAATATTTTTGTTTTGAGACATTTGGTCAAGTATAATTACTATTTTCTCAAGTATAATTACATAATTTTTTTACACCAATCGATGTAGCAAATCGTTATCTAAAAAAAGAAAGTATTGATCTGTCTGTATTTAAACTCCATTAGTTATTTTATTATAATTCCTATGCATAAAAGACAAAAATAATGTGAATACAAAAATACGCTCTTTTTTTATATGATAGACTTTATAAGATTAAAATATCTGCTAAACTAATAGTTAATATTTTCTTTATAGAAAATGACTTGCTACGTAGATTGACGTGAAAAAAATTGCATAATTATGCTTGAAAATAATAATAATGAGTATGAAGGCAAATCAAGTAAGTAAGTAAGTAACCAAATTACTGCCCTTTCGAAAAAAAAGAAATGGATTTGGGACATTTTTTAAATGACGAATAGTTTAATTAGGAGATAGTTGCACTTATTATAGATTAGAATGGGACACCTTTTATATATTATATCCTTATACTGTGGATGAGTTATCGAAGAATGTCATTTCAAACGCCGCGATGTATTCTATCCAACGACGCGTATCGGTGGTAATTTTTCATCCATCGAAAGAACGTCTGAAAAGTAGGCGATGCATCTTCGAAGTTTAATGGAAAGTGATTGGCCACAATCAAGTGTTCAACGCATGCAACGTTCAAAGAACAGATAGAATCCATCATCCGCTTCGACCGTATAAAGTTCCAACATACGATGATTCGCGATTAATTTTGGACCATATTACTGTCCGTTTATTTAACACGAATGCGATGCAAACCAACCGGTTAACGATCCGAAATGACACGCCACTCAATATTTTACACTGTCGATTCGATGACGCGGTCAAGGAGATCGATGTTCGGCCAGTGACGCGAGTCAATGATATCTACGGCGGGCCTGGTTCGAACAATAAATCTGTCGTATCGCTGTCGCGTGCGCCGAACAATCGCGACGGTATCGCCTCTGTAATAGATCGTTGCCTCTCTTCTCGTCTATCGAAGAAACTATCCGAACTCTGGCGACACAATGCGGCCAACTTTTCGCCGAGAGACAAAATTTTCATCGCCGCCCCTAACTATTCAATTACTCGTAGCGGTAATTAGCCAACGCCGTCGAACCTCGAATATTCCATTAATTCTCACGCAATGAATTTCCTTCGTTTGATTGAGTTACGCTTCGTGCACGTATAATTATCCTCGATCACTGTTTTGAGCTGCCTCGCTTTCCCTGACAGATCGAAGGCCCTTTTCAATTTGGCCTTTCGTACGAAACGAGTCGATTAAAATGCGGTCATTCGGGCTGCCGTGCAACGGCCAATTCAATATTCATTCATTGCATTTGCAAATACAGAATCCAGGTGAAGTTCGAGTGTACGCGGTGTATCCAATGTACGGCAGGTATCGTTAGGAATAATGGAACAATTTCATCTTGTCCGCCTTGGTATTCTAGGATTCTTTGGAATTTTTATTTGACGGAGGGGCGAGCGTTTCAATAATCCGATCGTCTCAAAGAGATTTTCTATTACTTTTAACGTGCGACGTGATACCGCGCTCGCTCCCGATATTATGAAATTTAACGTCACGCTGCCTTCTCTGCGTCGAGTGTAGAGGATTTATCTTCGAAAGAATTTGTCTTCTTAGATATCGCCAAGCAATACTTGTAAAATTTGTAGGAACGAAACGACAAGCTTTGACTTTCCCATGTGCGTGCGACATTTTCGGAAAACCAACCGTGTGTGAATAAAAATGCAACTCCATTAACCTTCATATGTTCGTCGTGTCAGTCCGACACGTTGCGATAAATGTAAAAAAAAAGCAGCGTGCTCGGCGCATCGTTTTATCATTCACGAAGAATGCTAGAAATCTAATGCACGAAATTTTCATTTCCATGTTTTTCCCCCGTTAAAAAATGGCCGGCAAATTTGACCATTTGCTTTTTTTCATTACGCTCCGTACCGTCAGATACTGCGATCGGTGTCACATCGTAAATAACATTTCGTCAACATCGTGCTCTTATTGACGTAAAACACAATCCCCGAAATTTCGTTCTGCAATGCCTGGCTCTCCGAAACGTTTTTTCGTGATTCCATTAAGGGGGGAAATGTAACAAGCGATTAGCCCCACACCGCCACCGTCAATTTCACGTCACCGGAGACAAATTAAATTGTGCGAATAAATTTCATCCCATCGAACGTGTATCATATCCTTGCCAATGTATAAAGCTAACTCCATTAACCGTGGAATTTGTCCTGCGTTGCGCGCACGCGCTTTGAAAATGATTTTTCGGTAATTTCGACCTGGCTGAACTATGCGTTCGTCGGATCGGCGAAATGACAATGGCCAGGGGCCATTCAATTACGCTAGTAATATTTAACGGCGACCGGTTAATTAGCTCCTAGATAGAAAGACTCGATGGGAAGACGCACCTGGTGTCAGGTCAAGCCAGGCTTGGCAACGATCTCGTCGTCGACGAAAATGAGTATTCCTAAGTCCGGTTTCTTCGTTCGTTCGCGGAAATGTGCCACGAAAAGTAAAGCAGCTTAAAGAAGAGCATAACGAAAGTTATTTACAGCGACATCCGACCTGGTAAACAGCGGGCAACAAAGACGCTTTGTACGCCGGCGAAATATCAGGCGCGTACGTACGTATATATTTATCACGCTGCAAGCGGGTTATGCGCGATTAACGTAATAATTCGCGCGTGCAATTTGTGTTTGGATGCTCATTACGTTCTCTCGTCCGATAAATTACCACCGACGAAGAACATTGGATCGGACGGCGGCATGAATTATTCCTTTTGCTCTTTGTTGTCCCGGGTATCCGCGGGAAATTAGCAACTGCGGTCGTGTGTCTGCTTGTCAACTCGGATCAGGTATTATTTGATTCGTTTGTCGGAAGGACTGTCACATATCGCGATTGCATGATCGTACGATTTGATTGCAAGTTAAGTTTATACATATTTCAAACGTTTTCGCGAAGGAAATAATCTGATTATTTAAAGATTCACGGGTTGAGGGATGATGGATTTTATTTAACTTTCGCGGGATCGGAAGGATTAAGAACTCGGCTCTTGAATACGAAAATGATGAAAATGGCTCGTGAATAAAGAATCTATCACAAAATTTGCAAAAATTTTTCAAGCGACGGTTTTCAACAATGGAAAATTATAAATGACACGTGCTCGCGAGCCGTTTTGCCTATCAGAGGAATTACCTATATTTCGTATATTTCGTAGTATCGTTCGACTGATTTACTGGATTAGATCTCAAAGCCGGATCATTCGACTGTCCGATTGTTCCAATGAATTGAGCAATCCGGAATGTCGATAGATCGCTCATCGCTAAGCCTAATGTCCCAAATGACTGGGCCTGTTACGATTATGGGTCACGCACGCACCGCTACCAGCTACCCTTTAAATCTAGATAGGCCAAATCGGATAAACTGATATTACCGGTTACGCTTTCTCTCGCCCAGATTACGCGAGATGAAGATAGCCGAAATTATTGCTAATATGTTTTCCCATTGATTTCGGATTTTCTGGCTACCTCCGCGTGTCGTTTCGCGTTACGCGTTGAACAAGTTTCAAGCGTTCGAGTATTTTTCTATTTTTTTTTCTT